ACGTTATACACCAACGCAATGCTTTAATTCCACATTAACCTCAACACTATATTGTTAATGTTATTCTCTTTATTATAATGAATATACTTAGTACTTAAAGTTTATATTGATTTGATAGCTGTACGTAAGTTGGAACTGTTGTTATTTTCCGAACGATTAAATTTATTTTTGCTTGACTAAGCGGTATCACTGCCGTACCCATATTTAACAACTAGTTTTTTATCCGTGTATTGGTCAAATAGTCGCTAGGGAACGGGCAATGAGTCTAAGATTAGATTTATGCTTTCAACTTTTCTATTTTTTTTATAATAATTGCAAGGAAAGACTCCTTGACAGACTAAGACAGACTCCAGACAGACTAATTGTGCTCAGTACATGGTAATAGGTACACGAAAATCATTGCATTGTATTGGGCCAAATAATCCTTACCTGACGAGCATGGATGAATAAATTGATGACTGTTGATGACGCGAAAATGGTATGTAAGAATCGTAGGAATTGGCGTTCCATTGTCTCTGCCTACCCCCATGGGAGACAGGCGTGAACTTATGTATGTATGTACTATGAAGTTACGAAGATAAATACGAAATCTCTTATAAGCCTCCGCCTCCGTTTTCGGAATCATTGGACGTGCGTTTCGCCTGTGCATCAGCTAACGGTGTCCCGTCTAGCGGGTCTTCTCCAAATGCTGACTGAATAACAACAGTAAAGCACATTGGATTTTATTTTCGATGTTTCGGCCGCGGTTTCTTGTTCAACGACCGAAAAATGGCGCCAAATGTTATTTTATTTTAGAATTTAGAACTGTAGTTAATTCTCTTTTTTATTTAATAGATGTTGTTTGGTCATTACTTGGTAAGAGAGTTAGAAAGACGATATTAGTATTGTTTGCTTAATATCTTGGTATTTCCTAAAGCATTAAAATTGTTTGGAATATTACATCTTCGTTTATTTTCCAAGGGTCACAGTGCACATTGCATGTCCCTATTTAATGCTTTTAAAACAGCAAAAGAAATTTGGCATTTTGGACACAATTCTAACCCCTTTACTTATTTACTAATCACTAAATAGTATAAAACAAAGTCGCTAATCGCCGTCTGTCTGTCCCTATGTATGCTTAGATCTATAAAACTACGCAACGGAATTTGATGCGGTTTTTTAAATAGATAGACTGATTCTTAAGGAAGGTTTATATGTATAATACATAGTGCACCCGTGCGAAGCCAGGGCGGGTCGCTAGTATTAAATACTTTAGTATTTCAATCTTATTCATAAAGTGAAACTTACATTAATTGTTTTATAAATTTCCTTCACTTTCATTCTTGGTTTAAAGATTTTAGTTTCCGCAATATAAGTGTTTCACCTTATCTACAAAACTAGGCTCTTGCATTACATTACTACAAAAAACAAATGCAATTACAAGCCTGCCTCCAAGACTATGAAGTAAAAGACAATCAAAAAGTTTACCCAATTTCAAATTATACACAACAGTCAGTGTTGGTTGCTCACAACCAATTATAATGGACCCAAGGCCACGTGGCGCAACCACGCGTGAGACAGTTTTTATTAGTGTGGTTACCGTTGTTCTTTACATTTTCTTATCATCAAACTAGCTTTCTGTCTGCGGCTTTGTCTATGTGGAGATTATTTTCAAGAAGAATAAAAATCAGCAGGTGTCAGTCAAAATTAATAAATAAATATCGCGTTTTGGTGTAAGATAGGAGATCTTACACCGCGCAGCTTATTCTAAACTGACAAACCATCAAATCTTTCCTTTATTAGTATAGATTAAATACTATTTGTACTCAGCGGTGTAATGCAAACAATCTTTGTTTTAATGAGAAATGAAGGTAAAGATGTGATAATGATGGGCTGACCTCCTTTATGGTCATAAAATGGCTGTTGGTTTTTGCCAAGATTAATTTTAAGTGGGTCTTAAACTATAATTTTAGTGATTATACTTGAAATGTAATGTTCTTTGAATGAAATAGTAATATATATAGTAATTGTACCAAGTCGTAATCGTAAGTTGTGTGACGGCAGGGTAGTGTACATTTATCACTGTCTCTGGTCTTCTAATGGGTCTCGGGTTTAATCCCCGAGTCGAGCAAAATATTAAGTACTAGGCTTTTGTATAAAATTCTCAATAGTAGCACGGAGTCTGGAAATGATCCCGGTATATGGCAATAGGCTTAACCTATTACATGGGATTTATAACATAAATAGTGAAAAGTGCAAGTTACATTGTACAGTGGCATTGAGTGCCGTAATGTGCATCTCTGCCTATCCCTCCGGGGATAAAAGGCGTGATGTTATGTTATGTTAGGCTCGGCTCTTTTCGTATTTGCCCTTAAGCTAATTCGAATAGAAAAAAAGAGACATTTATTTATTTAACGGCCTCAGCGTTTCTACAATCAATTTAAGTACCTGCTACTGTTTTATTTTATTACTAATATTATGAGTGTGGGACAGCCATGCTTCGGGACGAATAGGTCGGCTCGACCGGAGTGACACCACGGCCTCATAGAAAACCGACGTGAAACAACGCTTGCGTTGTGTTTCGTCGTGTGAGTGAGGTTACCGGACGCCCAATTACCCTCCCCCTTCCCCAATCTCCCCAATCCCTGAATTCCCAACGATCCTCAAACTACTAATCCCCAAAAGGCCGGTATCGCACTTGTAACGCCTCTGGTGTTCCAGGTGGCCATGGGCGACGCCGATTGCTTACCATCAGGTGATCCGTCTGCTCGTTTACCGGCTTATGCCATAAAAAAATGAAATCTTATTATTTTACAAAGAAAAACAGGCCATTGCTTTTCAGATCTCGGCGCCATAGAATTGTTCATGTTATGTGAGTGTAAAGTGTGTAGAATTTAGCAGTTCACAGACGATAATTGTTGGCAAGGTTGAGACTAGGTGTTACTTGTTACTATGTTATGAAACAACTACTCGATGCCCTTTTGTGATTTAATTTTTGACACTAGTTTTGTAATAAAGAGTCTTTTTATAAAGGTTTTGTTAAACGAGCAGTCGGACACCTGGAACACCAGAGGAGTTACAAGTGCGTTAACGGCCTTTTGGGGATTAGGAGTTTGAGGATCGTTGGGGTTTCAGGGATTGGGGAGATTGAGGAAGGGGAGGGTGATTGGGCCTCCGGTAACTTACACGAAGAAACACAACGTAAGCGTTGCTTCACGTCGGTTTTCTGTGAGGTCGTGGTTTTTTTATAAAGATTTTTTTATGGAATAAGTCGGTAAACGAGCAGACGGGTCACCGGATGGTAAGCAAAGAGCGTTGCGTATTTTCAGGTGATCAGTCTGCTAGAAGCAGGAGTAGCAACGGGTGGTATTTAGACAATAAGAGTTTGACATTCTCTCTCTCGCCACGCATGAAGAAAAGCCATTGAATGATTTTGCATAACATCATAACATCACGCCTTTTATCCTCGTAGGGGTAGAGGTACATTACGGCACTTAACGCCGCTGTACACTGTAACATCCACTTTTCACTATTTATGTTATGAGTTCCCTGTAATAGGGGGTGAGCCTATTGCCATATACCGGGCACAAAGAGATGAGATTTTTTTAAAAAACCTAGTAATAGGTACTTTGCCTGACCTGGGAATCGAACCCGAGACTTCTTGTTCAGCAGTTCCACTTGCGACCACTCGGCCGAGGCTATGATTTTTCCCTTCTCAAAAAAAGGTTTTATCAGAGAGCGCTGTTGTCTTTTTGTCCAATTCGTAGGAAGGACCTTATTCGGTGCTTACGACGCTCGTTAGAAAAGAAGAGACGAGTAACAGAAAAATAACGATTGCTTATATACGCAGTTACCTTAAAAACAGTGGAATTTTTAGTCAGTCTAACTTTACATTCGATTACAGAATACTAATGCTACACACGGGTAGAATGCCAAAATCGCACTCTGTCTAAACAGGTCAATCTCGTTCATAATGTAACATGTCTAGAATTTTAATATATATCATGTTTGAAGTTATTATATAGTGTTTTCGGTGTGTTAAGTAATATGGGAATGGTGTTTCATATACTTGTCTGCGTGGCCTATTTGTTAAGAACTCTAAGACTGTTTTTGTTTAATTTGATATATTGTTTTATTGTTATTATACAAGTAAAATGTTACGCCAGGGTTTCCCAAACTATGGGTCGTTTATACAAACTATTACTGGGTTTTTAAAAATCTCAGTAGTAGAGTCTGGAAATGTGTCCGGTATATGGCAATAGGCTCACCCCCTATTACATGGGACTCATGAATAGTGAAAAGTGGGTGTTACATTGTACAGTGGCATTAAATGCCGTAATGAGCACCTCTGCCCTCCCTCTGCTCACTGATAAAAGGCATGATGTTATGTTATTGTATGTATATAAAATTCAAACAAATCAGGAACAGATACAATGGAATGTATCCTCTTATTACAATTCAGACCAAGTCTTCAAGTCTTGACTTAGAATTATACTATACCTTATATGTCCCGTTGTCTGTTTGTGCAAAAATGTAAGAAAAACGTTTATTTTCTGGTGGAATCCTTAAATGTTTGTTTTATTGCCAAATTGTTTTATTGCCTTGTGCAACACATCAAAATTCGAGGTCAAGTAGCTACAAGTGCGACGGTCAAACGAAAATATTTGAATTTCGAAAATTCAGTCGATTCAACAAGAGTCTAAAATTGGTTACTCTGTTATGTATTTATTATCTGTGGACATTAGTTACTGGCCAGATGTAATGCGCGGGAATGTGCCATTTTGTCTATGCGTAATTATTATTAAAAAAATGTGTTATTTGCTGTTAGTGCTTTTAAACGGTCCCGTAATTTTACATAACAAACTCTGTATAATTAAAAATAATTAAATAATACATCACTAATATCAAAAATGTTTACTAAGATTTAGTAAATTACCTACCTATAACTTTTCAAACAGGTATATACTCTAATTGAATTTGATATTTATATTTTTCTAAATTATCTTTTATCGTTGTTACAGTACTCCAACAATGACATAAGACCTACAAGATGGCGCTACGGTTGAAAAAAGATATCAAGAAGGCCTCCTACTACGTGTGGTTCCTCGGTGCGCAGGAGTCCCGCGGCCTCAGAGGGGAGGAGTTTGCACTCCCTGCCATTCGGATACTAGAAGACAGAGCGAGGGACTTAGAGCCATTTAAAGTTACGCTACAGGTTGGTACATTTTTTATAAACTTATGAATTTCGGCCTCGCTGGCCGAGTGGTCGCAAGTGCGATTGCCGGGCAAGGGGTCTCGGGTTCGATTCCCGGGTTGGGCAAAGTATTACTGGGTTTTTAAAAATCTCAGTAGTAGCACGGAGTCTGGAAATGTGCCCGGTATAGGCTCATCCCCTATTACATCATTACAAAAGTGGGTTTTACAATATACAGTGGCATTAAGTGCCGAAATGTGCACCTCTGCCTACCCCTACGGGGATCAAAAGGCGTGATGTTATGTTATGTTGTGTTTAAATTTCGGGTTTAGCAAAAAATCTCTTGATTTTTACAATAATGACGTAGTTTCTTATCTATATGCTCTGCTTGTGCCATTTACGTGTGTGTGTGTGTTTTTTAAAAATTGAACGCATTTCCATACTTCTCGACTCTTAGAATTTCTAAAAGGGAAAAATCACAAAAATATTTCGATCTTCAAAGAATCCACGCTTTTTCTTAGAATTTACTTATTGAAAACAAAACCATATCATTGTTAACCAAACCATATCATGTTTAGAAAACCCGGGACTTCGTCCTCAGCTTGCATTTATTAATGACAGCGAGGCTGTCAAGTCAATTCTCACGAAGGTATAAGAATTTCGTCACTTTTGGGTGTGTTTGCTGCATTAAGGAAAATAATAAGTTTTATAGTAGAGGACACTCCTTGTTGTTGACACAGATATCTACGGATATAGATATTATTACTTATGTATATTTTAAAGTACATTTTGAGGTTCTTTCGCACGGTTGAAACTTTAAAGAGATATGAGAAAAATACTAACAAATGATTTAGGTATTAAAACCACAACTTCAATTTTTATTATTTAGTATTTTTCAGTCAAATAACCAGACCATACTTAGGAACTGATGCTCACCAAACTAAAACAAAAAATATATCAGACAGAGCCAACTTTTAGATACAGCCGATTCGGAGTCGCGGAGAACCTAACGTGTTACCGGGGCTCCGGCTCGAAGCGCAGGAGAAGGGACGGGGTGGTTTTTAGTCAGTAAGAGTCTGACACTCCCTCCCGCCTCACCCAGGCGGGAGCAGTCATTCGATGATTATCCCCCCCTTAAAAAAACCTTTAGATACAAATAACAAAACCACCATCAATTTATCTATGACAGCAAAAATTCCAACATTGAATTTTAGTTCCTAATCAAATACAATCAAATGTCAATTTGGAATGAATGGAATTCCAATCCAACGTCTTCACTTGCCAACTATGAGTGATACTGATTCTTATTGGGGAAAGTAGAGGCATCGTTCTAATTGATTGCGTTGTTCTTCACGTTACGTAAAACTGTGTAAGTTATCTTAGTTCCGATGTCGATTGGAAGGTAATAGTTATGAAGGTATATTGTTGAATGGTTCGGATGCGAAGACGATGTTAAAGATGTATTATTTAATAGCTTATTTAAAGGTGATCGAAGTTATAGTCGTTTGTATAAAATATACCATAAGTCAAGTCCATAGTTATCTACACAATATAGACGGATTTAAGCATCAGTTGTTATTTTAACCCTTTGAGTACCGTCATTATAGACACAATTAAAGAACAATAGGTGTGCGGACACCGGTGTCCTCGCGGTGTTTGACAGTTGCTAGATTCTTCTAGCTAATATTTTTTTATTCGGAAACGTCCGCCTCCTCAACCTCCTAAAACCGTTGAAACTTCTATAAACCAGGGTCCACAATAAAATGAATCATTAGCTACCTGAACTGCTTTATAACATTTCATCTGCTTCCTGACGAGTTCAGAGAAACCTATTTAAATCCCCAATCTCACCTATTCTTACACCCTCTTTATAAAAAACATAACATAACATAACATAACATCAAACCTTTTATCCCCGAAGGGATAAGCGACTTATGTATTATGAGTCCCGGGTAATAGGGGGTGAGCCTATTGCCATATACCGGGCACAATTCCAGTCATTTTATTAAAACATCAACTACAATTATCTTATTCTCTTCCCCAGGTATCCCATAAAGGACTGAAGATAATTCAGAATGTCACAGCCAAGGGTAAACAGCAGACGATCAAGCACTTTATACCGCACGGCAGCATCACCAGCGCAGTCGTGCAGGCCGATGTGGTGGCCTGTGTGTTGTTGCTGTACAACCCACTGACTGGCTGCCCTGTACATGTCCATGCTTACAGGTATGTGAACGACTTTATTGTTTAAACTAAACTTCTATTGTGTATGTGTATTGTAATCGAAAATGCCTGAATTGATGTGGAGTTTGAAATTCGTTTTAAGTTTCCGTTTAAAACCCAGTTCGATCTAGAGATTTGGTCCCTGTGTGTCGTTTTAACGGACTTACCAAAAAGAGTGGTTTAAAAGTTTTTAAGTTAAGAAGGGTTTCAATTCGGCTGGTATCTTTTTTTTTTAATTTTACCTTTTGAGTACTTTCATTATAGACACAATTAAAGAACAATAGGTTGCGGTCACCGGTGTCTTCGCGGTGTTCGACAGTTTAGGGAAAGTACCCAATAGTAAATAGAAGTTTTAATTACCCATCAAATACTAGGTTATAACAGTCTCACTGTGAGCTGCGCGACGTCGCCGCGACCGCGCACGCTGCTCATGAGGAAGAACCCCTCTGCGGTTCGAAACTAGTAGAGCTTTTCTCAGTATATTCACGTGAGTAACCCGCGATTTTACTAAATTTTGTATGTCTCACGATAGTTATTATAAAAACTAGGTTATAAAATGTGTTACACGACAAATAATAAAATAGCTACAATAATAATATACAAAAAGTATCATCTTCACTTACACTCAGACAAGTTGAAATAATCTCGAAATGAGCAGGAAACGTATGACATTTAGCACATTATTGTAAGGTCACATCTTAATGTCAAGACCTCACGATGTTCTAGCCTAACTGGTTTCTAACCACTGAGCAAATGTTCGCTAGGTATGTCCACTATGTTGTATTGTACACTCTTATTCATAGAAGCTGTTTTGTTTATAAATGGCCGAGTGGTAGCAAGTGCGATTACCGGGCAAGGGGTCTCGATACCCGGGTCGGGCAAGTATTACAGAGTTTAAAAAAAAATCTCAATTGTAGCACGGGATCTGGAAATGTGTCCGGTATATGCCAATAGGCTCACTCCCATTACATGGGATTCATAACATAAATAGTGAAAAGTGAGTGTTACATTATACAGTGGCATAATGTGCACCTCTGCCTACCCCTTCGGGAATAAAAGGCGTGATGTTATGTCATATGTATATACCTCTACACAAAGGTATACACAATAATGCTCAATTCTTGCTTCATCGACCTTTATCGAAAGAAGCAATTTATCTGTTTATTTTACTTAAGTACACACCGCAAGAGTGGGCATTAAGTGCCGTAATGTACTCCTCTGCCTACCCCTTTGGGGATAAATGCGTGATATTTATTACGTATATGCTATTAACCTACACATATATCGTTCCATTGTTTCTCTAAAACAAGGCAAGTTATCAGCTAATCGTTGCATATCAGTAGCAGAACAGAATTCAATTTATTTTTACATCACTTTTAGACGTTAACCTGTATTCTTATCATAATAGGTCTATTCAGGGGTCAGTAGAACGCTTACTTAGTAGTATCCAAAGCAATGATAAAAGAATGGAAGGTGCCACCATGGAAATCGAACTAAAAACGCATGGTTGATAGTCGCGCTAACTCTACAAATCTTCACTACATAGTATAAAACAAAGTCGCTATCCGCCGTCTGTCGGCCCCTATATATGCTTAGATCTTTAAAACGTCTATATTATAAAGCATTACAAATCCATTGAACTCATCTATATTATATAAAATAAAAATGAATCCCTTTTCCCCTTGGACTCGGCATCACGCGTAAATGACTAGACAATTTCAATAATTCTTTTTTGGTTGTTATACACTAATTTATTATTATTAGGAGAAGGTTCTTAAGACAAACAAAATCCTGAAAATCCTACGGAATCGAAAGAAAACGGGTTTGCGCGTACGAAGTCGCGGGTAGTAGCTAGTACAATATAAAATCTAAACATTAAATAAACATTTACTTCTAAACAATACCTGACACAAAGGGCCATCTTCACCTGACATCTGACATTTAGTGTCGCAACTACCGCCATCTATGCGCAATCCCCGCAAACTGAGCGGCCATTATTCATGTTACCAACATTACAACAATATTTAAAGGTTCTCAGGAAAATATTAATTATTATTATTATTTGTTGTATTTTAATATAAATAGGGATTTGGAGAGATATTTCTCATTGTTTTTGAATGGGAGGAATAAGTAGGTACCTTATTGGTGTAATCGTTGTACTTATTCGTTGTAGGTAATTGGTGTATTTGCTTAACTTTAGTATCTAATGTAAGACATTTGATTATGTGAATTTAATGTATCTAATAATGTAACGTCAGTTGTACCTAACTATGTAATTGTAATATTTGCAAATAAATAATCTTTACCTTTGAAGATTCCTACAATATTAACATGTTTTTCTGTATTTTAATTCAACAAAAGAGCAATGATTGCTATAGGACGATGCTTTCACCCAGTGTAGCTCCTACAGTGTGTGTTTTAATGTAATAATATAAAACCATGGATACACTAGATGACAAATTGTCCAAGACATGTACCTATCGGCGACATATCAAGCGAAGCCGGCCGATGTCGCCCAACACATACAGTGACAACGCGCAACATATGCCCACAGTGATGTTGATGTTGCAAGACATGTCAACCAGAGTCCGGCAACGTTGCGCCACTTCACTCGACGTCGCTGGCGACACGTGTCGCAGGGCACTTGTCCTCTAGAGTATCCCGTTGGCTTAAACTGTCAAACACCGCGATGACACCAGTGACCGCAACCTATTGTTACTTAATTGTGTCTATAATGACAGTACTCAAAGAGTTAATTGTCTATTTTTAAATAATCATCAATAAGCCGTAACAGGTAACTAATACTATGGACCTCCTCTACATAAGACGATCTAAGTATCAAACATAGCAACAATTTAAAACCAAATCCTTCAAAATACCGCTTCCATTACACGCACAAATCCACCACTTTAAAGATTTCCATTTTAATGTGGCAACGGCTGACATATCACGTTTGTGCGCCTGCGCATCTAGAGGTCAAAGCGACATCTAGCGGCGCTCGCCAAGAATTCGTTACGAGACCCACTTTTGTAGTTTATGGATATTCAAGTTTGACTAGAAAGAAGTTTACAAGGGTACCTAATTCAACTTTAAGTTATGTTAATGAGAGTTCAAAGTCAATAAGTTGTATTATTATTATTTATCATTACAATCAGTGTTTGAAACTCAAGGATCATGACTATTTCGATGCATCAAATATCATGAAAATTAATCCAGTCGTACTTACATAAGTTACGTTTTACATGCCGTACCACTTCTAGATTTTTTATTTATTTATTTCATGCAACTACCATTACAGACTAATCCAAAACGATATTGTGGCTATTAGTCTTACAAGTTACAAATACTAACAGTATATTCCAGTATTTACATATTATCTAATTATATTAAATTGAAACCTAGATACAATACAACAATTCGGATAAAAACAACAAAGTTCCCCATTAAAATATAACTGTTTAAGTTAAATATTTAAAACTACAAGTAACTATTTATGTATAACTTAATATAATTTTTAATTAAAATCAACCACATTTACTTAAAGACAATATACCCTTCACAACCATTATATATTTACTAATAATTTCATATTCTATCATTCAACAATCCTAGATTATAAAAACAAACCAACAACGCTTAAAATAATTGAAAACATCCTGTATCAATATGAAAATATTTTTAAACCTAACGAAAGCATTAGTTATCTTGATATGTTTACGACTATAATCTAAACAGGTGGTCATCACAATCTAAGCTAAGATTGCGCATTAAGAGCCGGCTCTAATAACTGCAAAAAGGTTCTAAAATGGTCATGACTAGAACCTAGGGCTGTTCTTTTTATATTTTTAACCTAGGACGTCGTAAGACACACGTAATGTCACTTATAAATGATTGAATCTTAAAAATGTTGGTCCGAATTACAAATCCTTACTAATATTATAAATCGGAAAGTGAGTTTGTTTGTTTGTTCCACTTTCACGCCGTAACTACTAAACCGATAGCTTTGAATTTGTGCAGACGTAAAGTTAGAAGTCTGGATTAAATAATGGGGTACTTTTTATCCTGGAAAAAATTGATATTCTCGAGGGAAACCGAATTTATTGGTATAGATGGCGCTGTGTGTATTGGTATATGTCACATAGGCTACTTTTTATCCTTTTGTGACGCGAGCGAAGCCGCGGGTAAAAGCTAGTTAACTGTAAAATATTGGATTTTTAAAAATTATAACAAATTTCTTTCTGCAACGATCTGCATGCTCTAATGAACGACAACAATACATTTGCACTCAGATAAGAAACTCCGTTACGTTTATGTATTTTCTTCAGTTTATTTTACATGAGTATTAGCGATTTCCATTCGTCATGATGCATCACATCAATTAATCGAACCAACAAAACTATGTAACTAGAGAATTATATTGTGAACCTGATTGAAAAAAAATAACCTATGGAGTTTCTTCCTACACCTTGGAATAAGCAAATAGCTTCTATTTTTCTTTGTTGACGTTCAAAAGTGCCTTCCTAGTCTAATTAAAATAAATTATTTTGACTTTGACTTTGAATCAGAGATGAACAAAATCGATTCAGCCATAAGTATCTTGACTTATAAACTGGTGTTACTAACTCCACTTTGTTAGCAACATACACAGATATTTTTATAGTACCTATCCCTAACTAGACCCTACCGGTTTCCGACCCTAACGAGCTCGCGTTAGAAGCTGCTCTATAATATAAGCAGTTTTGATTAGAATATAAATGAAAATCATTAAGCTTTTGCATCCCACACTTCTATTACGGCAATTTTATTACCCCGGTTTAATACCAAGTTTGTTTTTACTTAGATGAAAGAAAGGAGGTTAGTTTATTATTATTTACGTATCCTCTTTGCATGTGGTCATCGTAAACATTAATAGGCCGCACAGAAAGTTTTCATTGCCGCGGAAAGTTGAAGCGAAAATTAAAAACTATATCTGTCATTTGTTTACGCGCGTAAATCTAACGTTT